CAGTGTCTTTCTAGAGGCCCGGCCGCCACCGGGATAGACTCGATGATCAGCACGTGATTTTTCTTCTTCTACATTTACTATTTTACTTGGACGTAGAAACATTAGGGGCGTCATTCCTTGTTCATCATATATAAATCAATTGTTAAAAAGAAGATTCTAATTAAGAAGATTTGATCACTTGTTTAATTTATGAACCAAATTAAGAGTTATTATGATTTTATTATCACGGCCATGGAAACGCGCCATAACGATATTTTCAAACACTCCATACTAGATAGTAGCATCGACTGGTACGTATTGGTTTCGGCATAAACACGAGGATGCAGTAGAATTGGTATCAAATATACTCGTAAATTAAATTAAAATAGCGCCATTTAATTATCATTTATCTTCGCCCGTTTTTCTCTAATTCATATGCATAATCTACGTATATAGCGGCTTCATTTGTCGTGACATACAGGTTAGATCAAAATACAATATACTTTCCCCTGGCAACTCATGTTTTGTCCTGTAATTCATACTTTTAAGATGGAATCACCAACGTTAAAATATATATTGATGACAAGCATCTGGTTGGCTCTGTGGTCGTTCATAACATGATAAAATTGATAACATGCAGCTCAATCCAGACAGAACCGGGTAAGGTAAACTAGTACTTAATACATACTTAATATATTTTTTTAATAGTTTTAAGGGCACAGTTGTTGGTTGTCGCGGTTTAGTACTCGATCTAGACATCATAAACGGAGGTAGTTATTGATTTTTACCTTGATAAACAAGAGAAATCAATCTAAATATACACAATTATAAAGGTTATTTACAGTTGTACAAACTACAAAGAACTTTCATGTTACATTGTAAGTAGTTGTGAACATTAGTTTTGCGCGGTTCATCGTTTTTTTTTTTGTTTGTTAATTAGATGTTCGAAAGGGTAATTAGAGCATCTCCATCAATGCAATTGCAAATTCAATTGCATATGATGTTTTTATGATTTTTTTAATTTTATGAAATCCAACTCATTTTTATTTCATTGCACCTACATCAATGCAATTCATTTGCAGTTGCATATAAAAATATAATCCATTCAAAATATATTTCAATTTATTTAAATGACATAAAAAACCATATCTGACCCACCATTCCTCCACGTTGGCATTGCAAATGGACTTTCATAATATGAAAGCTTGCATCAGTTACACCACTTCCCACATCAATGAAATTAAGTTTGACATTGCAAACCTCCATCCACGTCATAATGAAATTGGGAAAATAGAGACGATGGAGATGCTCTTAGAGACGCCGCTCGTTGACATAAAGAAATAAGAAAGGAAGTGACCTATAGATTTTTCAATAATAATTCCCTAAATAATATATAAGATGTTCCATGTTCAGTACTGTCTCCGCCAAGTTTTGTCAGGTACCGGAAAACCAAATAAGTTATATACACGGCCAACATATTTTTGTAAGTTTGTAGTGCTGCAGTTGAATGCTCATAAAACTAATTTGGATATTCTTTCTGAACTAATAATAATGGTTTGTCTCATTGCATAGTAGCTAAGTTATCTCGATATATGGTGGCGTATTCGGTGCATCCACAGTGTACCCGTCTCATAATTGTCATTCTGACCATGCGATTCATCTCAAAACGCTATCAATTGTTGCTTATGATATTATGAACAAGAAGCACATGAATTTGAAAAAAATTCATTCAAAATTTACTTTAATTTGAAGGATTTAGGATTTAGGTTCACAATTTGGGATTTTGGGTTGGGATTCAAAATTGAAGGTTAAGGGGTTAGCCGGTTAGGGTAATGGATTGATTTGTTATGATTCTGTCATATCATCATATTATATTGAGAGTACTAATTAAAGTTCGAATTTTGATGTATTATGGACGCTTTTAGAGTTGGGTGCACTGAGTGCACCGAAGTAGCCACCATATATATATATTCCCAAATAGCATTTTTGTTGGCATCTTCCGTTCCATGTGCGAGTGGAAAGAACTTGTCTTCCCTGGTTAATTAAGTTACGGTTTCTCTTTCACACAGTCACACAGACACCTGCGGATGTGGAACATAGGGAAACAAGGTTCGACTCAGGGTGAAGCAACCAACAACAGAAAAACATGCAATCTAGTTTCCGTCGAAAGGGCAATCCAAGGGCACCTCTCCCCCAAGAACGTACTCTGGATAACATAAACTAGAAACGTACAACTGGGTTGATCAATAATACGTCTACATATAGATTGGTGTATTCCTGCCGTATATGAAATTCAGGCACGGTTGTATTTTTATATATGTAGATTGTAAATTAAATGGAGTTTGGTGTATGATATTGTACTCTAATTTTCGAGAGATAAACTTTAAGTTCTGATTATCTAAATTCAAACCCGAATATCAATTTAATAAAAGATTATAAATGATGATTCTCTAATCCGAAACGTGAATATCAGGTTTGATAAAAAAAATTATTCTGTAAATTATTTAAATTTATTTCCTCTGTTCTGTTCCTTGGATTGCTTTGCAGGTAACAATTACTGTGAGTATACTTTTTTTTTCAGAAATGGGAACATATAATAGGGCTGCAAATGAGCCGAGCTGCTCGCGAGAGGCTCGGCGTTCGAGTTGATCGAGAAAAGCTCGTTCGAAACTCGACTAGTTAATAAACGAGCCGAACACGAGCTCACCTTTGTTCAGCTCGTGAAGCTCGCGAGCTAGCTCGACTCGGTGGCTTGTTGAGCTAAACTCGTGAGCTGGCTCGTTTAGAGCTCATGATATGTCTTAACATGTGGCTAGAGAGCCAACTCGATTACCAACTTATGGACGAATCAATTTATATCTTATGATTTTAATTCATATGGTTGTTAAATTATATATCTCACCATATATAAAGTTTAACACGTTGAGTATGTGAGCAAATATATCTTATTTTCTACTTTAAAAAAAAATTATGCATCATAGATTGTTTCGATACTATGAAATAACATGATTTGGAGTAGTTAAAATTTATTAACTAAATAATATATGATACCAACAAAGTATAATATGAGATTAGCTAACAAAATAAATCATATGTATCGTGATATACAAAATGAAGTACCAAATAAAAGTTAAGATTTTAATAAACAAACTAGCTCGACCTCGACTCGGCTCGTTAGTAAACAAGCTGAGCTCGAGTTCGACTCGTTTATTAACGAACCGAACTCAAACTAGGGTAAAACTCAACTCAGCTCATTTGCTGCCCTTGATATAGGTTGTTTTGTTCCACCCACGTTACGCGTGCACGTTCCATGCATGAATGTTTCACAAAAGACAAGTAAGAACGTACTTTGTTTCCTTTAATTTTGGTGGGATTTCTTTTCATATATTTTAGTACAGGTGAGAAATAACCCACCGACCTACTATATCTATTTTTGTAAAAAAAAAAAAAAACCTACTATATCTATTGGCTAAAATATGTTAAACTATACTCATCCAAACAACGGGTACACCAATAAAAACTACAAAAACTTGTATGTTTTGTAAATCAGAAAATCCAGGAGGCTCATTTCCAAAATAATTTGCTTTCATATGGTAGGAATTTGATTATTACGCTTGAATACATAGGTCAAATAAAGAGTTTTGAGAATCAACTCTCGTTGATGCATCAAGAACAGCACTATGAGACCATTGACCAAACTTCTGTTAACATAATGAGGGCTTCTTTCTTAGTAATTCTCATTATACTGATTAACACTTTGTTCATGTATAAAATATGAATTAGCATATGTCAAATGAAATTTTGGCCATGATGCCTATTTTCATTGTTGTAAGTATGTGTTTGCGGATCGAAACCGTAACTTTTTTTTTGGGGAATAAGATCGATACTTTTACAATCGTTAGTTGTTGGATATACTAAATCACCGCACGTGCCTATCAGTTGCAAATAAAAAAAAATGTTAACAATTAACGAGGTGCAAATTTGCAATTGGAAATTACAAACGAAATCAATATATTTGTAAATTATTATATCCGATTCTATTGCACAGAAGGAGAAAGTATATACAAAGTGTTGCCTCCAATGTCTTTTATATGATATATTCACAGTATGTAGACAAACTTATCCAATAAATTTGCAAATCATTACACCCCGGATTTTAGTTGTACGGTAAAAGAAAATTGGCGATTAGGAAAGAGCAATATTGTTACATCTTAATCCTTTTTATAATCAATATATTTTTCGTTGCGTCACTACTCCCATACGAATTTTACTTGCGGCGCATCATTATAAATGATGATTTCATAAAAGGTCAATCATCTCTTTATTGTTCCATGTTGAATACATTTAACTTTAGAGTTGTTATAAAACTCAGAGATCTCACTAAAAATACATCTTATCAGTTAAAGTTGGATTGTTTCTTATTACTTGTGAATCTCTCATCATGCACTACTTTATCGTTCATCTAATAAGTTACCTATTAACATCCCCAAACACATTAGGATAAAAAGAGAAGGCAGAAAGGACATTTCCCTCTCGCTCCAACTCCCATACTGATAAATAATTAATTCAACTCGTAAATTTTTAAATCTTAGTACTAATGATGATTAATTAACCCTTCCAAATTCCAATACACAATTTCTTAGGCGAAGGCAGCAAGAAAGAAAGGCAGGAGGGAGGGAGAGAAAATTTACCATTTGAAAACATTCCTTAATTACCCAACCGAGTGAAAAAGAAGCTTCTTTTCTCAAACTCATAAGTTTTTACCAACTCCCTCCCTCAAATATAATATTTACTTGTTGACTTGTGTGTGTCAAAAACAGAAACTAGCATTCACTACTTACCATGTTTTGGGTTTCACGTTAATGTTAGGTCCTTAAATGGCCGCACTCCAATAATTATTTATGGTAAGTCTCAAAATTGTATTTTAGGTAACTAAAACAGACAATAATCCTCGAAAGGAGGCTATTTTTTATTTTATCTTTTTTTAATTACAGGATGGTGATTGGTCAGTGGGGAACTTTGCCGCTTTCTGTGTCACTCTTAAATCGCCTCTCTATAAATAACCCCCGGCGCTCTTAAACTTTCCCCCTCCCTCTCTCCCTGAATTCACAGATCTCTCTCTCTCTCTCTCTACTAAGCCAAGAAGAAGGAGAAGAAGAAAATGGAGGATTTAAGTTCTATGTGGAGCTACCAGGAGGTGCGGGATTTTTCTCTCTTACACAGTTACACTCTCTCCTTCCCCTGTATTCTGGATTCTTCAATTCTGTTCCTCGCATTCCTCGATTTCCACGTTTTCCCAGACTTCAATTCAGCGCATTTCGATTTGCAGAGTGCAAAACAGAGTGCTTCATTCTGATCTTCTCTGAAACAGAGTCGCAATCTGATGTCCTCTGCTTCACTTTGTTTTTTTTTTAACTCCCGTTTTTTGTTTTTTAGCTTGTTTTTTCCCCCAAGACTCACCGTCCGACACGTTCCTATGTTTCTTTTGGCTTCTTTGCAACACTATTGTCAGATTGTTTTTCCTCTTGATCTCACCATTTTCCTTCCCTTTCTTTGGATTTTCTCTCGCCCTTTTCTGGAGTCTGGAATGGGGAAATGTTCTGTCCTGTTATGGACATGAAACCCAGAACATGCTTCAGTTGAATTTCGGGAGTACTAAGGATTTGTCCCCTTTTTCATTTCCCCTCTTTTTTTTTTTTTTTTTTTTTAACTAGTGTCGATGTCACTCATTCGGTGACCTAAAATTTCCTTCCTTTTCCAGCTTTCCCTTTCGATTTCTGTATCCATTTGACTTGACCCGACTTGTGATTTCTTTCTCCAATGGCAAAGCTCTAAACTTTATCCTTCTTTCTTCTTTTTGGCAGAGCATGGACGAGGTAAAGCAGAGCCTTCTGTACAAGACCCTGGAGCTAGAATCATTCAAATCCGAAGCCAACGCAAAATTGAGCAAGTGCAGAGAAGAAATGACCCAATTGATCGACCTCCTGAAACTTGCTTACCAAGAAAGGGACGACGCAAAAGCCCAGCTCCAAAAGCTCCTCCACAAAATTATACCTTCCGAAATGAACCCAATTCTGCAACCAGACAGCCCAATCGTCGTTCAGGGGAAAGCCAATTCAAGCATAACCGAGTCCAACAGCCTCTCTGAAACGTATAACCCACAGTACTCCCACAGCTCTTCCCCTGTGGATTCCTTCTTCCACGACGCCGCGGCCGTGACCTCGCCGGAATTCTCCAGCATCAACATGGCAGCAGCAGCTGCAGTTTCCCCAGTGGTTGCGGTTAAGATTGACCCGATCGATGCTGTGATTGATGAACTCGTGAAGGGGAAAGCTCTGCCGCAGCAAGGGAGGCTTCTTCAGACTGTGATGGAAGCAGGGCCTCTCCTCAACACGCTTCTCGTCGCCGGGCCGCTGCCGCGGTGGAGGAATCCACCCAAGCTCCAGACTTTCAAGATCCCTCCTGTTTCAATCAAGGGGTGCGATGGTTCTAGCAAGATCCAAGCTGTTCCGTTGCTGCAGCAGAAGATGACGCTGTTGGGTTCCCAGACTTGCTCTGCTTCCATGGTGAATTTCGCTTCATCAGGTTGGAGTTTGAGCGCTGGCGGTGTCGGCCAAATCCAGCCGGGAAAGAGGCAGAGATTTCAATGAGAGGTTTTTTTTTTTTTTTAGAGTTGCTGAACTTTCCAACCCCAGAATTAGTTCCCTGTAAAAAAGGAAAAGAGAGCTCAGATTCAGTAGAATTTTATCGCTGGTAGTGGTGGATCCTGTAAATGAAAACATCAGAATTCTGTGACATAGTCTATAGGAGCTCTCTCTTTCTATTGTTAGCTGGTAGCATTTGGTTATGATTTTCCTTTTCCCCCATTTACTCTCTTTACCGCCATTTTAAGCGATTAAATAGTTGTAAACATGGACCAACTGCATCTTAGTTCATCCTTCCTTCCATTGATGTTATTTTCTTCGCGCCTACTGCATTTGTGGGAGAGTTATCTTATTTCGCCAACTTCAGAACACAGCACAGCCTGACTTGTTGCCTGTTGCCATTTTTCACGTCTCTCTGCCGCTCAGAACTCAGAATGGGCAATTCGTCGAACACTTCAAAGGCATTTACGTTTACTCAATTCCGTGCTGCCATTTCTTAAGGACGCTTCCGGAAAGTGAGGAAACTCCTACGGGCCTGCGGTGCAGGTTGAAACCCTCGAGCCGCTCGCTTTATTTCTTGGCAGGCCGGAGTTTAGAGCAGATACTGCTGAGGCGGTTTATGGGCTAGCGTTGATGCCCGTCCTTGTAGGCGCAACCAGAATCGCACAATCGTGAGAATCAGATAGAATTGCAGCAACATAAAGGGTACCATACAATACAACACAAAGTAATGGCAGACTATGGGAGATTAGGGAGATTATCTATAACTGGATTCAGGAGAAGTGAACTGATAATAGCTGAAGGCTAGATTGTCCAGATTGTAAGTCGAGAAGAGACAGAGCCATAACCAGTAACAAAGGCTTACAAACTCCAACCTCGCATTGCATCATCATAACAAAACTGTTTAGTCTAACACAATGTATCAAGCAAATCCCTGAGAAAGGAAACGGCATGGAAACCAACTTAGATGATGCCAATCTTGTTTGCCACATCCAATGCGTCGTAGTCCGGCGTCAATCTAACATATGCCTTCTTGGTACCATCAGGCCTGCAACGGGTAAAAGACCAACAATGAAAACTTGCAATGGGTACAATGTGTTGTAACTTTTGAAAGTTGTAACTAGTAAATACATATTGAGCATATAAATGTAACTTCAGAACCTTATATAAAGCTAATAGCAGGAGTGTTTCGCTAATTACATGAACTCTCTAAGGACTAAACATACATGGAATAGAAAATAATAGCTACTGATCAAATACAATTAGCTCCTCCACAAGGGGACACCAAGCATACATGATATCAAACAGGCATCATGAGAAATTCATTCCTGAAGGAAACTCACTATATGCAGTATACTAATTACTATGGCATTTCCTAGAGCTTCCATTTTCAGTTCAATACAAAGTTCCTGCATCAATGACTTAGGGAACTTGACATGCTGCAAACTATAGAGAATGCTAAGAAGAATATTCGTGATTTGATCATGCTGTTCTATTCCTACTTACTTGTTTGTCCATAATTCTACAGATTGATATGTGAATTACATAATATGGGATTCATACAGATTATAATGATATTTCCGTCGTCAGGTAGCAGAAAAACACTGGCCAGAGACTTCAAATTGAAGAATTACCTGATGAGGGTGTTGACCTTCTTGGCCTGGATATCATACATCTTCTTCACAGCAGCCTTGATCTTCTTCTTGTCAGCGCGGATGTCAACGATGAACACCAGTGTGTTGTTGTCTTCAATCTTCTTCATGGCAGACTCGGTGGTCAGAGGGAACTTCAGAATCTGGTAGTGATCAAGCTTGTTCCTGGGAGGTGCACTGATCCTTGGGTACTTGGGGTTCCTCTCCTTCTTCAATGTCCTTGGGCGGTGGAACGTGACCTTGGTCCTGATCTTCTTGGCCTTCCTCTTGAAAGTTGGGCCAGACTTCACTGCCTTAGCAGCCTTGACTGCCTGCGCCTTGGCATCTGACTTCGGCTTGCTATCTGCGCCATGAATAAACACACACAAAACGATCAATCAAAAGCTCCAGCTTTACCCATGTAACCAGAAAGCTAAGACCTTCACCAAGCCTAACCCTATATTCATTCTTCCTTACTAATTACTACTCTGTATGAAATGGGTTCTGGTTGAATCGATTACTAATCAAGCAAGTCCCGGAAAACCAAATGGTGAAGAAACTACGTTATCGCAAAAACCCTGATTCATTTTCAAAACCACTTCACAGACGAAGAATGACAGGGAAAAGGAATAGGTTTCCAGAACTAGGTCGTACCTTTAGGAGGGGCCATTGCTGCAAATCGATTGAATCACTGGGAGAGTAACAAAAAGGGAAGACAAACAAAATGTCAGAGAATCAGATGGGACGTGAACGTGAACGATTCAGAGAAGATAGAGATGCTGGGTGAGGGAAGAGATTAAGACGGGAGAAAGACTAGACCTGTGCGTCTTCTGAAGCAGCAGCTGGGAGGCCGTCCTCTAGGGTTCGTAAAGGATTGGAAAGGCCGCAGGTAGGGTTTATAAGGATGGCGGTATCGTAATGTCTCTTCTAACTCCATGGGTTTGATGTTTATATGGATTGGGCTAGCTGATTTGTATTTCGAACTGGGCTTGTAGAAATGGGCTTTGGCCTGTTTTTGCATACGATGAAGAGAAGAAAAAAAAAAGTAAGGATTGAAAAGCGGTATGATATTTTATGCTAAAATCGTGGTTTAATCATGGTTCCATCATATTATACCGTTAAATACTGCATACTGGTTTTGCTTCCGGTAGAAGGTTTTTCATATCGAACCGCCGATACGATACCATATTTTAATTCTTGATTAATTCTTGAAAAAAAAAGATAAGGAAGGAGATCTAGAGAAATTAGTGCACGCAAGAGGAAAAAGAAGAAGCTGACACTGAAAACATAGGTCTCTGGCTTTGTTTGATGAACAAGCGGTTCAATGTTGTTAATCTCCATTTTTGTGGTTCATTCACGTCGGAGAAATGCAGCGGCGGATCCAGAACACTATAGAGCACTGGGTCGCATTTCATTAGAAAATTAAAACCGTAAAAAAAACATAATGATTATAGTTTTTTTGTAATTTAAATTGTACCCGACGGTATTTTAATTTAGAGAATGCATCAATAATGGAGTCTACAGAGCAATCGGCGAGAAATTCATCGCTCATTTTGTTGAGCAAATCAGTTCTCGCATATTTCATTGTTGAAAAGGTTCTCTTCGCAGTAGGATAAATGACACATTTGGTCACTGAGATTACTAAATCGTGTCATATTTAGTCACTAGAAAAATTTAATATCAATTTTGGTCACTCGAATTACTGAAACAGGTCACATTTGGTCACTCTTCTGTAGCCTCTGTCCAACTCCGGTCACTCGAATTATTGAAAAATGTCACATTTAGTCACTCGGATTACTGAAACATGTCACATTTAGTCACTCTCCCAAAAGTTTTCGTCCAACTACATTAATGGAGTTGGACGGAAACTGACGGGAGAGTGACTAAATTTGACCAGTTTCGGTAATTCGAGTGACCAAAATTGATATTAATTTTTTCTAGTGACTAAACATGACACAATTTAATAATCTCAGTGACCAAATGTGTCATTTACCCCTTCGCAGTAGCTGTCGAAACGAGCAGCATCAACACTAGAAAATCAATCGACTAATTAATTTGCATTGTGTGTCCATTCCTTCATCCACCAGCTCCTCTAGTAAATTTTCAAGAGAACAAACCTCATATTTCTCTTAGTCTTTTTCGTTTTAAACTTTTAGAATTTTAGGTTTCATTGTTTTTTTAGACGCATGATCTTTGGGATTGAAATTTCTAGGCTAAATTTAGAGTAGTGATTTGAGTATGTTCCTCTGAATCATTTTTCTAGTTATACCCAATCTTATTATAAAATAGCACTGGGCCGAATGTCTAAAATCAAAAAATTTATAAAGACTAAACTAACTACGGATTAGAGGAAGGCTGGGCTGAGATCCAGGGTGGCCACCTCCTGAATCCGTCACTGGAGAAATGTTGTTTAGAGTTTGTATTGTCAAGCTAGATTTATGACTGTTGTTTTGTAAGAACGATTAATCGTCTCCTTACTAAAAAACGAAGGCAGAACTAGGTTCAAAAATGTTTACTTGATCACATCTCTCTTAGTCACCCGTCGCTATAAGATCACAGGAGGTGTTTGGGTAAATAGAGCAAAGTATGTTGCTAAGAAAATGAAAGTATATCAGTCTTTTTATTCTTCAGTTACGAAATAAAATAACTCGTATCAAATACTTATCTAATCAAACAAGATATATAAATGGGCAATCTTTATTTTTTATCTAAATTTTTTTTACAGACAGTTTGGTACCAAATGAATCGAGAATTCATTGTCAAATGAAATCTTGTGTTTGGTATATCATATTCAAATCTTTAGAAATAAAATGAATTGCAGTCTAGAATTCATTGTCAAATGAATTCTTGTGTTTGGTATGTCATATGTATAAGTAATTTAGTTAATAAAAGAAGATAGTTATGTCATTCTGTTATAATTAGTAAATACTTGTGGAATTCATTTGGAAATTCCATCTCAATTCCTCGGAATTGCTATAACTAGTTCCAATTACATAGAATTGAAAATTTAGAATTGAAAATGAATTCTTTTAAATACCAAACACAAAAATATTTCATTTTCAAATGAATTTCTCAAAACTTATGGAATTCATTTATACCAAACGGTATGTTAGATTCTTTTATATTATCCAAACCTATTAAAATTCTATTAATTATCCAAATCTTTCATTATGCATCAAGATATTAGCCATTTGTACGTTATCGTTAATAATTTTGTAACTCTTTTCTTAGTTAAAATATTAAATTTTTTGAATGTTAACCTTCATAAGTCTCTTCCAAGTCACTATCATTTTGCCAAGTCAATATTACTAACAAAATTGCTAACTGAAACCTAACATTTGACTAATTCTCATTATTTTTATAGATTTGGATAATATAAAAGAATTTGAAAAAAGTTTGGATAAAAAAATAGACAATACCCTATTTAAATTCAATTATCACATAATAACACATAAATACAAAGTAGCCAAAACATGAGTGAATTGAAATTAAAAACACATCTCAATAAATAATGCATCCGAAAACCCCTTTATTATCAATAAATTAATGAAAAATTGTTAAAGTTCAAGGTTGTCAACGCGCGGTTCGACCCATTTTGACCCTGATCCGGTGAAAAGAACGGGTTGCACGCACTCGCCAGGTCGACTGCTACAAGGTATCGGGTTATAGGTCAAATTGTGTCATTTTTTCTTTGGTTTGCGAAATGCGCCTATTTTTTCGGATTTTTCTTTTCGCCTAGCTCAATCTTTGGAATCCTTTGTTGAACATTTGAATATTGATGTTATATAAGTGTGTGTGAATTTTCACTATATGTTGGATCTAAGTACGACATGTTAATTTGGTGTAATATTATTCATATATTAGATGAGATTTGATATAATTTATCAGAATAAATACAATATAATGACTCTTTCCATATTTCCGGGCTAAAACGGACCAAAACGAGTGACCTGTTAACCCTTGACCCACTAATTCGACCAGATCCGAGTCAACCCGCGGGTTGAGAACCTTATTTTTTTTGGGTAGAATTGAGAACCTTATTAAAGTTGTTTGTTTGAGCGGATTCAGATTTCAACTGGAGCCTGGAGTGGCAAAACCACAAAGCGCCTTTTTCCTTTCAACTTTCAAGTTTTAGGAAGGCCCAAAGACTCGACTCTAATACGGACCGAAACTACTCAGGAAAAAAAGGGAACACCCAAAGAGGAAAAGAGCCGCGCCGGCGACGCCGAGGAGGAGGAAAACAGTGATCTTTTCACCGCGACCACCGTCCCTTCTCCGTCTCTGTTTCCCCCCCAGCTCCCAACCTCCAGTTTTCTCGTTTCCGGCCACTGTCCACCGACTGTTCATCTGTCCTGCTCTCCCATCCGGACTCGCCCGTGGGCTTCGTTTTCCCCTCCCACCAGCGCCGATTGCCCCGAGGTGCGCCGCTTCTTATTCTCGTCGCCGCGCTACTTTTCCACCATGTGCTTCTTCTCCTCCTTTCGTTCCTGATTGGCGTATGCTGCTGTCTTCCTTATCGTTTATGATTGTTGTTCTTTTTTTCGCATTAGATTGTGGCCGGCGATGTTATGGTGCTGAATGGAGGCATGGCTGATTCGATGTCGTTAGGTGCTGTTAAGGAGAGCAAGCTATGGAAAGGCGTCTTCGCCGTCGGAGGAATCATGAGCACTCTCGTGATCTACGGTGTTCTTCAGGTGATCTTCTTCTCCCCTCTTCCGTCAGTTTGAGTGCACTGTGCGACGAACACTCGTTTAGCTTGGTAGGACTAGTTGGTAGAGATTAGGGCATAGAATCATAGAGATTATTAGGTCAGTTTCTCAGATTGGGAGGAGACATTCCATTGAAGATGCTAGAACTCTGTTCGAGGCAATGCCTAATTGATGTTGGCGGTATTTCTTCCCCCATTCAGTATAGCTAGGCAATGTGCCTTGTTTGGCCGCCTTCTGTAGTGTCATAGAGGCATTTTCATTGACTGCAATCTTACTGTTGTGCAGGAAAAGATCATGAGAGTGCCATATGGGGTTAATAAAGAGTATTTTAAGTACTCTCTTTTCCTTGTATTCTGCAATCGGGTCACAACATCTGCTGTATCTGCTATTTCTCTTGTGGTAAGGACTCCGCATTAGTTGATTTCCCCTTCTGCTCAGTGGATTTCCTTTTTCAATTGGTTGGCGGGGAGTAATAAGACTTGAATTGTTGATAATGAGATTGAGATGATGGATGGATTCAATTAATTTTCAGCTTTCTTCCTTTTGTTTTTCTAGGCAAGTAAGAAGGCGTTGGATCCCGTTGCTCCAGTTTACAAGTACTGCCTCATATCGATTTCCAACATATTGACTACAACATGTCAGTATGAGGTATGGATGTTTCTTTGGACTCCAAATTAAACACATCCCATTTGTTAATGTTGTTGGTGCTCTTTATATTTTGTGTCAGACTCTATGCAGGCAAAAATTTGTTAAATTTCCAAACTTGAGTATCATTTGAAGTGTTGAGAGGTTCTTGTTGCAATTGACTTTGTTTTCTTCTGACTATATCTCCTGCTCCAGGCCCTCAAGTATGTTAGTTTTCCCGTCCAGACACTTGCGAAGTGTGCCAAGATGATTCCTGTTATGGTAAGTTGTTCTGTCCTTAATGTGTTCTTGTTGTTGCCTTTTTGGGCAGTGTGCTTAGTGCCTTAGTCCAATTAACCTGTGGAAGTTTGTCTTTCATTTCTTTTTGTTTTTATGTTCATTGGCGATCTCCTAGAGGCTCTCCAACTGCTGCCATGAAGTGTTAGAATAACATAGAGCAGTAGTAGCATTGTTTTGTGGTAGCTGATGATTACTAGGCCTTTTGTGATCGTTAATGCTAACCCAAAACCTCAAAGCGCACTAAGAATGTTGATCCAGTACCTTTTATACTCATACCCCTCAGTCTTGATCTTTCTATTCCTTTTCTACTAGGCATTTTCCACATGGATAACTGTGCTTCTTTTATATTTCCTTGGAGAGGAGTAGTAGTTTATCTGTAATATAGAACTTGAACATTATGAGCAAAAGGCTGCTCTATGAATTGGTTCTGGAATGAATGATATGATGTCTTCAATGTTTGGACTCCTTGTTGTGTTAAGAATTGGGATTAAGCTTCGATTCCTTTGTTCTTATCTCTTTTACAGATATGGGGAACTTTCATCATGCAAAAGACATACAAGGGAAAAGATTACTTGCTGGCTTTTCTAGTGACCATTGGTTGTTCAGTCTTCATTTTGTTCCCGGTAAACAATAGTCTCTCGCTTAACTGCGTTTTATCTCCTCTTCTAGAATTAGAACCTCTTTTTCTTTACTCATGTTTCACGGTGGATGTAATCGTGATTTGTATATTGTAGTCATCTTGATTGTGGGAAGATACTTGCTTTCTGAGTGTCCTTTTCCCTAAAGAATTTTCTCAATCATTATGTTGATTATGGCACATTTAATGATTTTCTGACTTGATTATAGGCAGGAACTGATCTAAGTCCATACAGCAGAGGAAGGGAAAATACTGTTTGGGGAGTTTCTTTGATGCTCGGTTATCTTGGGTACTATATGAAACCCATATTCTCTTGTGTTAAATGTATTTTAAGATGTTGGTAACTTGTGCATGATAGAATAAAGTGAAATACTTTGTATTACCAACAAATATGAACTATTTGTTGCATTTAATGGTATATAATTACTGTAGTTCTGTTCTTGATGACACGTAAAGGGCATGTGTATTTTACATTGATCGAGAAGGCATCCTGTAGTATGCTTTAACCCACTTCTTGGTTCTTGAAACTATATATTTCACCCTAATTAGAGTTTCATTTTCACTTCTTTAAAGTCTAACTGGTTGTCTGCATATCCATATTTTGGTAAACTTCTATAGCATGGAAAGGGCTAAGCAGGATTTGCAGTTGGATTTTTCAGAAAGCATTGTGAATATGGCTAAACTAGTCATCTGCATTGCTGACAGGTTTGATGGGTTTACAAGCACGTTCCAGGATAAGCTATTCAAAGGTTATGAAATGGAAATACACAACCAAATCTTCTACACAACACTGTGTTCCTGTTTTCTTAGTTTCACAGGTGACTTTCCCATTCTTGCACTCTCTCATTCCCTCCCCTTGAAAATCTTATTTTAAGCTGCTATATGCATGTATGTATTAACTGCAGTTCCATGTGATAATTTGCATTGTTTCTGGGTTTTTTGTTCACATGTCAATTCATCCAAGTTGCTTAGTTATATTGCTTAGAAATGTTTCTGAACCATGTCATTGAGATTAATGTTAATGCTTGGAGCACATAACTTTGTTTTCTATTTAATAGAATGACTTTTTCATGTCTTTTGGAGTATCCGGTGGTGAAAAATAGCAATAACCTGTTGCTTCTGCGGTAGGTCTTATACTACAAGGACATCTACTGCTAGCAATAGACTTCATTCATCGCCATCACGATTGTTTCCTTGATGTAGCGTTGCTTTCGACAGTGAGTAATCTTTTCCTTTGTATTTCCTTGTTTTTCATATCAACCCTATGTATCAGACTCTTTTAGTATATATTGCTCACAAGAATCTGATGTCACCTTTATATGGTCACGACCTTCTTTTGTTTTGCTCAACTCACTGAGGGAGCTGAAACCTAAAGAATTGTTTTTGTTCCTTTCAGGTAGCGACTGCTAGTCAATTCTTTATTTCCTACACAATACGAACCTTTGGTGCTCTGACATTTGCTGCCATAATGACAACAAGACAGGTACAGAAGCATGAATTGTATTTGCGACATTGCAACCTTTGTTAACTTAATCGGCACTTTTCTGATTCTGCTGCTTTGGTGTTCAAAGCTGGTGAGCATCTTGCTCTCATGTGTGTGGTTCTCTCACCCTCTTAGTTGGGAGCAAGTGATTGGATCTGTAAGTCATTGTCTCTTTCGAACCCTGTTTTCATTACTCTGCTCTCGCAGTTGTACTAATTTCTCTGGTGGTCATTTTTCCAGGTTATCGTCTTTGGTTCTTTATACGCAAAGAACTTGTGGAAAAGTGCACCTCCAAAGCCTCCACCGCAGCAGCTTTCAGGACCTGAACTAGTAGAAGAAGGCGCTTCAAGTACCGTTAAGCAATAACCCCCTGACAGTTTGAGGCTCGGCTCTTCTCGTACCTCGTACGAACTAAACTTAGTGTCAGAACTCAGAATGATGATTTACAGTAGGACAGTAGGGAGCGGTATGAGATCCCCCAATTTTCGGCTGGAAAAAATAACTGATGAGATCGAACAGAGAGGTTCGGAGTACACCCCGTGGATGTATAATCCGGTTAGGTTATACCTGCTTTATTTTTCTTCTGTTTCAACATGTCTTCTATTCATTTCCTTGATCTTGTTAAGCAATAACCCCTTGACAGTTTGATGCTCGGCTCTTCTCGTACCTCGTACGAACTAATCTTAGTGCCAGAATGATGATTTACAGTAGGGAGCGGTATGAGATCCCCCAATTTTCAGCTGGAACAAATAACTGATGAGATCGAACAGAGAGGTTCAGAGTACATCCCCGTGGATGTATGATCCGGTTAGGTTATACCACTACTTTATTTTTCTTCTCTTTCAACATGTCCTCTATTCATTCCCTTGATCTTGTCAAGTGCTAGATTGGAATAGAGGATGTGATTTTGGTAAATTAAATTCATGAGGATTCTTTGAGGAGACGAGTCATTGTGGTAAATTAAATTCCGGCAAATCTGATAGAACCCGGTGATTAGGGTTCTATCTAGAGATTGGGATTGAAGGGATCAATTAGGGATTGATCTCCTTGTAGCACAAAAAAGTGAATGAAGGGGGTTGGATGGGAACGAGGAAGAAGGAAGGGGAGGGGATTGATTTGGGGGACGTGGGCAGAAGGAGGGAAGGGAAGAAGTAGTGTGGGGGTTGAGGAAGGAAGAGGAGAGGAGGCAGTAGTCTGCCGAGGGGGAGGGAAGGAAGAGAGGGTCGGCCGATTGAGAGGGAGGAGGAGAGGGATTGGAATTAGGATTTAGGTTTATTCTTTGCTTAAGCCATGATTCCACTTAAAAGCAGTATATATATATATATATATATATATACTTCGGCGCACTCACTTTTTTGGGTGTACTGAGTGCATCCAACTCTAAAAGTGTCCATAGGACATTAAATTTTGAATTTTAATTAGTACTCTCGATCTAATATGATGATATGAGATAGAATCATAACAAATCAATCTATTACCCTAACCTCTTAACCTTCAATTTTGAATCCCAACCCAAAATTCTAAATTATAAACCTAAACCCTAACCCTAAATCCCCAAATCCTAAATCTTTCAAATTAAAGTAAATTTTGAATGATTTTTTTTCAAATTCATGTGCTTCTTGTTCATAATATCGTAAGCAACAATTGATACCGTTTTGACAAGGATCGCATGCTTAGAATGACAATTATGAGGCGGGTGCACTGAGTGCACCCACTTTTTTGATAATACCGGCACCACTTTTTTGGGTGCACTCAGTGCACCCGCCTCATAATTGTCATTCTAAGCATGCGATCCTTGTCAAAACGGTATCAATTGTTGCTTACGATATTATGAACAAGAAGCACATGAATTTGAAAAAAAATCATTCAAAATTTACTTTAATTTGAAAGATTTAGGATTTGGGGATTTAGGGTTAGGGTTTAGGTTTATAATTTGGAATTTTGGGTTGGGATTCAAAATTGAAGGTTAAGAGGTTAGGGTAATAGATTGATTTGTTATGATTCTATCTCATATCATCATATTAGATCGAGAGTACTAATTAAAATTCAAAATTTAATGTCCTATGGACACTTTTAGAGTGAGTGCACCCAAAAAAGTGAGTGCGCCGAAGTAGCCACCATATATATATATAGTGCCTTCTATGGTACCCTGGGTGAAATCTAGGGTACCGCATACCTTGAGTATGAAAATGCTATCTAGAACTCGAATTAGCAGGATTTTTTAACCTGATACTATACCCTAACCCTTAATGAGTGAACCCTAGTTCCTAATTATCTAAATTATAAACTATAAACCCTAAGATGGTGCATTCATTTTTGGCCTTTATTTGGACGAATCATAACCGTCAATTATTATTCTAATTAAATTGATATTGGAGTATTAATTTTAGAGAACTAAGACCTAGATTTTGATCTTTAAGGGTTAGAGTATAGTATTATGTCCGAAAGATCAGTCAATTTATGGTCTGAATAGCATTTTCATACTCAGGATTTGTGGTACCCTGGATTTCACCCTGGGTACCGTAGAACTCCCCATATATATATATAAATGAGCAATTACCGACTACTATCCGACTTCTTCCCTAAACAACCCAAATAATCAGAAATAACAAATAACCGACAATTAATCAAAGTACTAAGAATGCAAGTTTCTATCATCCCCGCTTCCTTCGAAAAACAACCTTGTCCCCAAAGTTGTTCCTCTAGCTCACTGGGTCTGATCCTTGCCGTTTCCGACGTCCTCGGCCTCATCTTCTGCTTCATCTTCCCAGCGCCTGACTAACATCATCAGATCCGGCTTCGGACATTGATGACCGATGGTGAACCGACCATCAAAATTGAAGCACTTGCCCTCCCGCCTCTTCTGCTCAATCTCGGCCGGCGACAGTCGCACGAACCCTTTTGGTATGGCCCGCGGTCCCATCCTGGCCACCAGCGCCGTGTCCCCGCCTCCGGCGTCAGCTCCCGCTGCATTTCCCGCCGGCGTTCCTCCACTACTACCACCGGCCCCACTGCTTCCTCCACCTCCACTCGACTTCGGGTAACGGCCTATGGAGTTCCTCCAGCTGGCGAGTTCCTCCTCTTTGTGACCTGCAAGACGAAAAGCAGCTTTCAAGGAATCTGGCTCAAATACTCTGACCGCTGCTGCTATCTCGGGCTTGAGTCCCGCCATGCACAGCCCCTCCAACGTGTCCTCCGGAACTCCCTTGCACTGGTTCCCCAGCTTGAAGAACTCAGCGCGGTAATCGGCCATAGTGCCGGTCTGCTTCAGCTTGGCCAACTGCTCAGGGGCCTACCCTTCTGACTTCCCGAACTGGTAACAGAGCTCCTCCTGAAACATGGGCCAGGTAATCAAAGTCTCGGCCGCTGCATATGATCTCTCCATCCACTCCCACCACTGGAGTGCATCACCCTCCAAATAAAACGACGTCAGATATGCCTTTCTCTCCTCCGGAATCGGATGGTTTCTAAACCACCTCTCAGCTGCATACAATCAAAGACCTGCATCCTCTTGCCCATTGAATTTTGGAAACTCAATGGTAGGAGGCTTGGCGCGAAAAACCACTCCATCAGCTCCTTCATAGTTAATACAATATGAGCCATACCTGTCGTTACCCGGTGTCCTCAATGGCTGCCCGTACATGTTTTCCGACGCCCGTCTCGGATTCTCATGCCCGTAGTCCCCCGGGTAGCCGCCTGGCGGGCTCTGGTACCCGCCCGGAACATAGGGTGCCCCATGCAGACCCTCCAAACAAGCTGGTCCCCTGCTGTCCACCCTTCTCGGTTGCTGATTGGAAGGGCTCGGACGATGGCCGGTTCGACCCACCTCGAGCCGACCATTCCGGCCCGACCCGACCTGGTCCGGCTCACCTCGGTCCGTCTAGCATCGACCCGCCCCGTACCGGTCCGTTCGGGTTCGGTCCCGCCTCGGCCCCTCTCACTACGATCCGCCCTGCCGGACCCGGACCCATCCGCCAAGCCAGGTCGGCGGCCCTCCCCGGCCCACTGGGCCCTCTCTGGTCCACCTCCGGTCCAGTCCACTACCCCTGTGGATCCGCCAGGTTGAACTCATCATCTTCGGGCTTAGCATCCAGGTCCAACCATCCTAGCCCATTGGCGCCTTTAGCATAGTGGCCCACCATCTCTGGACCAACATTCATTGGAGGCCCATCCGCGTCATAACCTGGCATCTTGGCCTTCCCCTTGCGGGCCGCAATCTCCTGGGCCGTAGGCGTAGGCAAGAGACCCGAGCCCGTACCCAAACCTGCAGACACTGGCCCTGTACCTGCTTCGCCCCCGCTCGCACCCTGCTCGGGCTCGGCGGCCGTCTCCAGCGCCACCGCCCTGGCCTTAGCAGCCGCCGCTTCCACCACCGGATCTGCGCCGTGGGCCAGGCAGCCTCCACCCGCCACGACTTCCGGCGCGGAATCGTGGCCGCTGGTCGCCCCGCCGCTGCCGCCTCCGACAGCATCACCTTGAGCTCGCCAATCGCGAGCCACAGCTTCTGCGAGTCCGCCTGCCTGGACCTGTGCTCCTGCTCCACTGCATCCGCCATTTTGTCCAAATCGATGTGGAGCTCTTCACCGATCGTCTCGTCAACCAGCTCCCCGTCCCGCGGACTGGGAACCCCATGTGCGCCATCACCGGAGGCCGGCAGCCCCGTCGTGGCCGCAGTCACGGCCTGCTCCTGCGCCCCCTTGGCTACCTTCTCAGCTGCCGTCATGGATTTCGTCGACACCATCTCGACTGTCTTCGTTTGATCGCGAACCCAAGAACGGGGCTCTGATACCAAATGATAGAACCCGGTGATTAGGGTTCTATCTAGAGATTGAGATTGAAGGGATCAATTAGGGATTGATCTCCTTGTAGCACAAAAAAGGGGAATGAAGGGGGTTGGATGGGACGAGGAAGAAGGAAGGGGAAGGGGATTGATTTGGGGGGCGTGGGCAGAAGAAGGAGGGAAAGGAAGAAGTTGTTTGGGGGGTTGAGGAAGGAAGAGGAGAGGAGGCAGTAGTCTGCGAGGGAGAGGGAGAGGGAAGGAAGAGAGGGTCGGCCGATTGAGAGGGAGGAGGAGAGGGATTGGAATTAGGATTTAGGTTTATTCTTTGCTTAAGCCCTAATTACACTTACAAGCAGTATATATATATATATATATATATATATATATATATATATATATATATATATATATATATATATATATATATAAATGAGCAATTACTGACTACTACCCAACTTATCACTATCTTCCCTAAACAGCCCAAATAATTCGAAATAACAAATAACCGACAATTAATCAAAGTACTAAGAATGCAAGCTTCTATCAAAATCATATTGTCAGAAGGAAACATATATGATACATGGTCTATATCTAATGGAAATGGCTGTCGGATTTTAGTGACGGCGAACGGGTTCTGGTGGCAAGCAAGCATATTCCGGCGATCGGTCATCGGATCTCTATGGTTGGCTTGGTGGTTGAAGAAGCCCTATTCAAAAAATTATATAATCAATACCAGAAATAATGAATACTAAAAATCACATGATCCAATAGAAATTACAAAATATATAGAAGAAATTGACTAATGTATAGCAGTGATGATCAACATCATTCCATAAAATAAACTATCATATGCTTACACAAAATAGCATAACAAGTGCAACAAACTTACGGATGCTTACACAAAATAGCCTAATACGTACAAGACATTCACTGATCTTTTCACCCAAAAAAAATACTAATACAAATAATCATCTAATTCATTCCCAATATTTCTTGAAAGACCTGATAAGACATTGCAATCACAAACAACAACCAATACCAGAAACTAATGGATGCATACTAGTGAGGGGCGAAGTTGGGATATAGGGTGATGAAGGACTGAAAGGACCAAATTATAGTTGTTTCGCGAAATTGAACTTATATCTTGAATAATGGGGCTAATTGCACCTTTCATGTTACCTTGCAATGTTTTCTGAATATATAAATACACATTATCACCTTGAATCAAACAATGAGAACATTATTATAATTTATAATCCTTCGTGAACCACATATAGCTTTGCCACTGACAAGTGTATATGACAAACATGAGAATTTATACCAATAAAATACAATATTATAGATCGTCTAACAATGTATATTTTTTGATTATCCATATTAACAAGTAACATATGTACATTTTTTTTACAATTAGCAAGTAACAATGTACATTTTTTTACAATTAGCATATTACTACCCATATCCATAGAAATATTTTGAGTTTAGGTGTTTTTTGATGAGAATACTTGTGTTGAAAAGATCGACTAGTGATATAATGCTCCACCCCCACGCCTTTCTCATTCGTGTCAATTGCCCCTCTCGTGACACGAAGTGCGTGGTCTCGCAGGTGGAGGTGACAGTGCCAAAAATAGACTATCCGACCTTCCCCGTGATGACGTTCTCGAAGGACGCGAAGATCGATAGATGGGGTGAGTGTTCTACCATTTTGGGTTTGCGGCAGAGGTCGATAGTCGGTTAGCTCCAATTAGCAGGATAATCGCGGTTAATCGTCCTCGGTTACTCGATTAACCAAAGCATCTCCATTTCCCTCTTCTCCAAATCGCAAACTGCAGTGGCAAAACCTTTCTTCCTCCAAAGAACAACGCAACTAATAGGTCTTGGTAAGTGTTGAACATGCCGCTGCATAAGCATTTCCATAAACGTTGAAGGTGTCTTTGTGTCTCGTCTAGTAAGCTAACTCGTGCACTTGTTGTTCTTAGGTTTTTCGTTCTTTCTTTTTTCCTATGTTCTTATTTATAATCTATTAGCAAAATGCTTCCAACCATCAGGGAAGTTGGAGAATTATATCATATACCAACATATGCTTCCAACCATTAGGCGCCTACTGGTTTTCTTAAGGAAACTATAGGTTTTGCAACCCTCTGTCGTACAATGCTGATAAGCCTGCGATTTCCAGAAGCTCCCTAGCTACACATCTATTTCACTTTATGACCTCAAGGATTCGCATCAGTCCACGACGGTGGAAGAATCGCCGGTTCACCACAGCGACACAATGGAGTTGCTGCCGTCATTGAAAAGTTGTAGAAAGAGGGATGAATGCAACTTCTTTGATCGACGAACAATACTTTCTATAATGGTGATATAGGAGGGAAAGGAGAATATGTTGCGGTAGCATGACAAGATTATGGGAAGATGGAAGGATTAGAGAGGAGAAAGATTTTCTCTGAGGGGGAGAGGGAAGGGATAAAGATGAAATATCAGTGAGCATTTTTTTTTTTGGGTGTGAAGGTGAGGAGATTTTAGTCCGTTGTACACTTTTTATCCCCGTTTCTTTTTGACATTTGTGGCAATTGAGCTCCAAAAAGGGTGGTTTTACGCTAGGTTTCTAGTGTTTCAGAGTCTAACAGGTGAAACCAACCCCAGAGTCAAAAGTTGGAAGAAAAGGAGCAAGGACTGGGCAAAGAGGAGTTTTCAGCCACATTTCACGGTCAGTCATTGGAGTTCACAGTCACCAGGACCGTGAAGTGGAACCACAAACCGTGAACCGCGAAGCGTCTAGAGGGGTTTCAGAGATTACTGACGCCAAGGCAGTTCACGGTCGCTAAGACCGTGAACTGGGGCAATGGACCGTGAAGACCAGAAGTGAAGCGGCGCATTTTCCTAAGAGTTCACGGACGCGTCCTGATGTTCACGAACGTGAACTTAGTCCGTGAACTGGGCGCGATCTCAGTACATAATGAGAGCTGAAAGGAAGAAGAGGGAGAGCCCAAAGTGAGAGAAACCTTCTTCTTCTTGAAACCCTAGAGAGATAAAGCACGAACCAAGAGGGAGAAGAGGCTAGGGTTTTGCTCTCAGTGAAGATTTTGGAAGCTCCTCTTGAAAGGAGGATCTCTACAAGCACAAGGAGAGTTGAAGGCATCACAATGATGGTTTCTTTCTTCCTCTTTTATGTCTTCCATTGTCTAGCATGGAGTAGTTTCCCTTTTCACTTGGATGTTGTAGAACCCTAACTTCTATCATGTAATTGATTGTGTGGATTGAATGATTGTGTGATGGTTGTATTTAATTTAAGTATTGAGGTATTTTTCATGGTGATTGTGCATATTGTTTGCTTGCCAATCTATTGTGCTATTCTAACCTGGCTTAGAGAGAAGCCTCCTTATCTTAAGAGGCTCAAATTGAGTTGGGTTTTCTTAGGCAAACCTCTAACTTGGATTAGACACCTAGGTTACTTGTGATTATGCCATCCAAACCTTTGTTTGAAGGAGAAGGTAAGTCAACCCTCAATTGATTGGGCCAAGAGGGCTGCAATTGTAGCCTCTAATGTTTCCCCTGGCTTAGCAATTGAGAGATGGTTTCTAACTATTGTCCATTTCCCTTTAAATGACGGTGGGTAATCGTTGCACCTCCTATGGATCGCAATTGCCTGGTCACACATCGTTTCATTCGATCCCACGATCCATGGTAATTAGTTAGGGGGAAGCAACACCCGAGTGAAGCTTCTCACCAAGAGTTTTCCACCATTTTACTTTCCAAGTCTTGCTTTTCAATAATAGATTGTAGATATTTTTGCAAAACAACAATTCGCTAGATAATGTTTCAAACAATCGAAGTAGGGGTACATGGGTCGGGGCAGGTTGATATTTAAACATACTTGCCATATATTGCACCTATCTAAGGTTTATACTTGGGGGCTTAGGTGAGATTTTATTGTGATAGTCGGAGCTAGGGGTGGAAATCTGTACAGTATCGGTATCCCAATACCAAATACCAAAAACCCGAATACCGAATTACGCTCTAAAGTTAATCCCAATCCCTAAATAATTTCGGTATCCCAATTCCAATCCCTAAATATTTCGGTATCCCAATCGGTATTGCGGTATCCCAATCGAGAATACCTATCTAAGTATTATCGAATGTGAAATTAATTATCTTTGTAATTAATAATTAATATATATATATATGACTTGATTGTTTAGTTAGTCCAAAGAGAGTAAGCAAAGAGTCTTGAGTTTACCTAGAGCTAGGATATGGATAAGGAGAATTGAAGAGAGGTGACATCTCAAATTCTTGTCATTGGTAATGTTTAATTTGACGAATTGGAGGCTGAGAGACGACTAATACTAGTGTTTGTTTTTTGGTTATGAAAATAAAAAGAGATTAGGTGAGAGACGAGAGTGACTTAAATTGGAAAGTCAAAATTGAATTGGATGAGGCTTCTAAGTTGTGAAAGAGTGAAGAATGACTGAACGTTGTGTGCTATATTTAATTAATTTTTAATTTTTGGTATTTCGGTATATACCGATCCCAATGCCGTAATCCCGAATACCGAATAGCACTCCAAAATGAATCCCAATCCCTAAAAAATAAACCGGTATTCGTAAATACCAAATAGTGATAAATTCGGTATGGTATTCGGTATATCCCAAATACCGGTACCAAACTTCCAGCCTTAGTCGGAGAGAGTCAAGTATTGAAATTGTTTAGATTTAGTGGGCTAGGTATGACTAGGCGGCTACAACCGACGTGACAAGTCGACATGGCGTGGGAAATCTACTTTTGGTACCTGCCATTAGCTAAAGTGACGAAAATGGTGACGCTGCAAGCCTGCAACGTTTATTCGACGTAAGTGGTTAGCTTGCAACAAAATATACTTAGGTGGTCACCGTACACCGAATTGTAAACTTAAGTAACAACTAGTACAATTAACCCTGATTTTGGTAAATTAATTTCATGAGGATTCTTTGAGGTGACGAGTGATTATGGTAAATTAAATTCCGGCAAATCATTTTGTTAGAAGGAAACATATATGATACAAGAGTCTATATCTAATGGAAAATGGCTGTCGGATTTTAGTGACGGCGAACGAATTCTGGTGGCAAGCAAGCATATTCCGGCGATCGGTCATCGGATCACTATGGTTGGCTTGGTGGTTGAAGAAGCCCTACATAAAAAATTACATAATCAATACCAGAAATAATGAATACTAGAAATCACATAATCCAATAGAAATTACAAAATATATCGGGTCGTTTGGATGGATCATTCTCAAAATGAGACAATTTAGATCAAAAGACTCATTTTTGAAAACGAGTCAATTTTATGAGAAAATCTGTGCAGAATGTGTCGTTTGGCATGATCTGAGAGATTGAGAAATATGAGTGGCCATTTTGTGAAAATTGCCATTTTATCATTTTCTTATACAAGTTTTTCTATCTATTTCTAGGTTTCTTTTCTTATACAAAATATATAGAAGAAATTGACTAATGTACATCAGTGATGATCAACAGCATTGCATAAAATAAACTATCATATGCTTACACAAAATAGCCTGCCATGTGCAACAACTTACGAATGCTTACACAAAATAGCCTAATACGTACAAGACATTTACCGATCTTTTCACCAAAAAGGAAAAGAAGAAGCTTACCGATCTATAATCCGAGGTTAATCTAATAGTAAAGTAGGGGTGAAAATATTCATCACATCATGAGTTTGAATTTGGAGTCAACAACCATCTAAAACATATGAATATGACTTTGTAAAAACACTAATACAAATAATCATCTAATTCATACCCAATATTTCTTGAAAGACCTGATAACATATTGCAATGACAAACAACGACCAATAGCCAGCCCTACATACAATGTCATAGCTTGACTTTAAACGACGAAACACATTACCTCTTTCGCAAAATATTAAAAGCCCAAATAAACGAAAAAGTAACACTAGTGACCAGTAAGAACGAAAGATTATGTGGTTGACGAATGTGAAGTAATTTAATAAAACGAGTTGACCAAATTTATAATTTTTCCATCCCATTCAAAAATCAAAATTGCTGCTGATTCATTCGCTCGAGTCTCCAGTCCAGTCTCCACACTCTCTTTCTCACCCTCACTCAATCCGATCACATTTTCTGACTAAACGATGGATATTGATCTAAACCCTAAGGTTTCCACGAAGCTGCGTGGAGGAGTAGGAGGATCCTACTCCTCCTGGAGTCCAGACGAACTGGGAATGATGAAGCGTAGCAACATAGCTGCTGCGAAGCTTGCTCTGGGGAAGGATGCGATCGCACTCCCGCACTACTCGGATTCCGGCAAGTTCGCGTTGGTTCTTCAAGGTCCGTTTCCCCTCTCTTTTCTCTTTTCTTTTCGCTCGTTCGGAGAGGTGATAATTTTGTTTTGGTCGTGTCTTGACCAGGCAATGGAGTCGCCGGCGTCATTCTCCCGGAGAAGGAGGAAAAGCTGATCGGGATCAGGAGCGGTGACGCCATCTCGCTCCCCTGTGGCGCCGTGACCTGGTGGCACAACAAGGAGGACGCTGAAGTGATTGTTCTTTTCTTGGGAGATACCTCAAAGGGCGACAACCCTGGTTACTTCACCGATTACTGCCTCACCGAGTCAAACGGCATCTTCACCGGCTTCTCCAGCGAGCTAGCTTCGCTGGCCTGGGATGCGGACGAGAGCACCGTCAGGGCTCTCGACGGGAGGCAAACCGGTATTGTAATCGTCAAGCTCGACGATTATTGTGAGAACAAAGAATTGCAAACTGACAGTTTATTCGAGATTACTAAACATCCTTAAATACTCCTGTGTCTAAGCCAACAGACCTGGCTTACACAGCACTGACCACTAACTCGATCTTCCTGCAAACCAGCAGCATGATCTCCACACTTCTAGTTCTACCATAACTGCACAATGGACTAAATTGACTATTTACAGAACTCAAGTACTAAGCAGACACTTAACCAATTCGACAGACAAACTCCAACCAAGCAGAAACGACAGCGTTCCAACTTAACACACAGACTCCAACTAAACAGAACGACAGCGTTCTGACTTATTCAAATCCACACTTAAACCTTGGCGCCAAACCAATCCTTCTCCTTCTCGGATTCGGATTCCCTAGCACTTGCAGCTTGACTCCTTACTCCAACAAATCCTCCCCTGAACTGAACCCTCTCAACTTCGTTCAGTTCACATGCCTCAGCATTCAATGTTCAACAGAAGCCTCTGACACATCACACAATCCCATTTTGCTCCTCAGCAGCTGAAACACTTCCAACTTCAATGGTTTTGTCATAATGTCTGCAACCTGCTCCTGTGTACCACAGTGCTCCAACTCAACCACTCCTTCATTTGCCAGCTCCCTCAGAAAGTGAAACCTCACATCAATATGTTTGCTGCGCCCATGGAGAACTGGATTTTTTGACAGTTTGATTGCTGAACTATTGTCACACAGAATAGTTGTGGCCTTCTTCACACTTTGCCCCCACCCCATCTGCTCCAGAATCCTTCGAAGCCAAACACTTTGTGCAGCACAGTGAGCTGCAGCAACAAATTCTGCCTCTGTGGTGGACAGAGCAACCACTGGTTGCTTTTTGGAAGCCCATGAGATGACTCCCCCTGCCAGAAAGAACACATAACCTCCTGTACTTTTCCTGTCATCAGTATCACCAGCATAGTCACTATCTGTATAACCCAACAGCTCCTCCTCTTCCTCCCCTTTTCTCTTGTACCAGATGCCAAAATTCACAGTTCCCTTTAGATATCTTAGCACCCTCTTGGCAGCCAACATGTGTTGTCGAGTTGGATGTTCCATAAATCTGCTAAGGAAGCAGACTGGGTACATGATATCAGGTCTGGTTGCTGTTACATACAGCAGGCTTCCAATCAGCTGCTTGTATTCTGTAGGACTCACCATCACTCCATCTCCAGCTTTGTTCAATTTGCATCCAGGGGTCATAGGATTAAGCACATGATTACAGCCTGACAGGTTGAACTTTGCCAGCAGCTCCTTGACATACTTCTGTTGACTGATGAACACTCCAGATTCCTTTTGGCTAACCTCAACTCCCAAAAAATAATGCATCCTTCCCAGATCTGTCATTTCAAACTCAGATTGCATTGCTTGCTTGAACTCAGCAAGCATCTCATCATCATTGCTTGCATACATCAGATCATCTACATACAAGCTCAGAATCAGAATACTAGTTCCAGCCTTCTTGACAAAAAGAGTATGTTCATAGGGACTTCTCTCAAACCCAGACTGAACAAAATAGGATTCTATCCTATTATACCAAGCTCTAGGTGCCTGCTTGAGGCCATAGAGTGCTTTGTGAAGTCTGTAAACCTTATTTTCCTCCCCAGCAACCACAAACCCTGGTGGTTGCTCCACATAAACCTCCTCAGTGAGTTCTCCATTAAGAAAAGCACTCTTGACATCCAGTTGGTAGACTGTGATGCCATGATATGCTGCCAGTGCTAAGAAAGTTCTGATGGTATCCCATCTAGCTACTGGAGCAAAAACCTCAGTGTAGTCTATTCCTTCCTTCTGAGAATACCCTTTGGCCACAATTCTAGCTTTGAACTTGTCAATACTGCCATCTTCTTGCAGTTTGGTTTTGTACACCCATTTCAAACCAATAGCCTCAAAGCCTTCTGGGAGAGTAGTGAGAGTCCAAGTCTGGTTCTTTTCAACTGAATTCATCTCTTCCTGCATTGCTGCATTCCACTTAGGATCCAGCATTGCCTCCTCAAATGTCTGAGGATCATCAGTGACAGCCACCATGGCCACCCAGTCAGTAGTAATAAAGCTCATATCATAATTCTGGAAATGACCTGGTAGTTTTCTGATTCTCTTTCCCAGAGTAGCATTTGGTGTGTCCACCACATCAGTATCACCATCCAACTCATCATCATTGATATGTCCAACCCCTTCTGCTGATCCTTCTGCTGCTGCAGGACTAGAGGATTGTTCTGGTTCTGTTGCTGTTGGAACAACTGGCTCAGGTGATTTTGGATCCTCATCTTCCATGTCTGAATCAAACCATTCTTGATCACTACCTTCCCAAGACAATTGTGTCTCCACAGGATCCTCCCCAGAATTCCAATTCCATCCTTTAGTCTCATCAAATACCACATCCCTACTAATCACAATCTTTTTGGTACTGAGGTTATAGAGCTTGTATGCCTTTGACTCAATTGAAATACCTAGGAATTGACAGGGCTTACTCTTGTCATCCAATTTCTTTCTCTGCTGATCTGGAACATGCACATAGGCAGTACAACCAAAAACTCTAAAATGTGAAACAGAAGGAGGTTGTCCTGTCCACAATTCCTGGGGAGTTTTCCCTTTGTTTGCTTTTGTAGAACTTCTGTTTTGGACATGTGTTGTCCAGGCTACTGCTTCTGGCCAAAATGCAGCTGGAACTTTCATATCTGACAGCATGCATCTCACCATGTTCAGCACTGTTCTATTCTTCCTCTCTGCTACCCCATTCTGTTGAGGTGTCAAGGCAGCTGTTAGTTGCCTTCTGATTCCAACTTGGTCACACAACTCTCTAAACTCAGTGAGCATAAATTCACCTCCTCTGTCAGTTCTCAAGCATTTGATCTTCAATCCTGTTTCTTGTTCAACCTGAGTTCTGTATTTCTTAAACCACTCAAGAGTTTCTGACTTGGCAGTTAAGAAATACACCCACAGCTTTCTGCTAAAGTCATCAATTAAGGTAAAAATATACCTTTTTCCACCATTTGACTCTGGTGTTAGAGGACCACATAAATCAGCATGTACAAGTTCTAGTTTCTGACTTGCTCTCCATAAGCTTTTCTTTGGAAAAGACTTTCTGTGTTGCTTACCAATGAGGCAGGTTGCACAAACCTCCAGATCTCCTCTCAATACAGGTAAGTCCACAGCAAAACCTTTCTGCTGCAAATGCTTCAATCCTTGTATGTTAGTGTGCCCAAATCTCCTATGCCACAACTCCAGGTCTTTCTCCCTGCCATTGACAGTTTGAAAGCACTGAAAGTCTTGCTCTTTTGACTGATCTTCAGGATGTATAACAAACATCCTATTTGACTTCATTTCTGTCTGCAGCAGTAACCCTTTTTCTTCATGAAAGATCTTGCAGCATTCATCTTTGAACAAGAAAGCTAGACCCTTCTCCTGTAGCTGGCCAATGCTCAACAAATTTGTTTTAAGACCAGGCACATAAAATACATCACTGATGATCATGTTCAGATTTGCAGCCTCAATTTTTACACTTCCTTTTGCTGCAACCTCCAACTTGTTGTTGTTACCAAGCCTAACAGAACCTGTAGAGTCAGTATTTAACTCTGTGAACCACTTCTTGTCTCCTGTCATATGATTGCTACATCCTGAATCCAAGAACCACCAGTCCTCATGCCTGTCTTGTTTCACTTCTTCAAGTAATGCCATCAGTCCTTGTGCCTCTTCCTCCAACTCCAGTGAGCTTTCAGATTCAACACAGGCCATGAGCAGCATATCATCCTTCATATCTCCTTGAGCCCTGGTTTGCACTTGATTTGAGTTAGCATAGTGTGCCTGAGGACCATTATACCAATCAGGACACTCATACTTGAAATGTCCTAGCCTGTGACATTTAAAACACTCAACAGCTTCTCTATTCCAGCCTCTTCCCCTTCCTCTTCCTCTTGCTACACCTCCATATCCTCTTCCTTGACCTCTTCCTCCTCTACCATACTCAAAAGATGCCCTGAGAGCCTGGTCATCTTCAGCTACAGCCTTTGCAGTTTTTCTATTGAACTTCTGCTCATGCACCAGCAATGAGCTTTGAAGAGCATCCACTGTCAAAAGATCAATATCTTTGGATTCCTCTATAGAACACACAACATAGTTGAACCTGTCAGTCAGAGTTCTCAAAATTTTCTCAACTACCTTGTCATCTGGCATATCCTCTCCACAGTTCCTCATAGTATTTGCAATTACCATGACCCTACCAAAGTACTCTGATATGGATTCTCCTTCTTTCATTTCAAGCAACTCAAAGTTTCTCCTAAGTACCTGAAGTTGAGCCTTTTGAACTCGAGCACTCCCTTGAAACTTCTCCTTCATCGAGTCCCACAGTTCCTTTGCAGTTGCCTTCTTTGCAATTGTCTTCAGAAGGGTTCTATCAATGGAACTGAACAAGTAGTTCTTTGCTTTAAGATCCTTGAGTCTCAACTCATCCAAGCTCTTCTGTTGTGCTGCTGTAATCACTTCTCCTTCAGCAGGTTCTCTAATTCCAGGACTAATTACAGTCCAATACTCCTTCGATCTGAGAAGATTCTCCATGAGTAAAGTCCAGTGCTCATAATCCCCATCAAATTTGGGAATACAAACCTGAGCACCACTGCCATTGTCAGTCATGATGATCTGACACCAAACTTCTCAGATTCCTCTCACCCCTTTTCAAAACAGCCTCACCTGTAATCTCTCGTGTTTCCCTATACCCAGATTACCAGAGGTTTTCACTCAGCACTCTCTTTATCACACTCTTGGTTACAGTTTGCTGCAGTGCTCTGATACCACAATGTGAGAACAAAGAATTGCAAACTGACAGTTTATTCGAGATTACTAAACATCCTTAAATACTCCTGTGTCTAAGCCAACAGACCTGGCTTACACAGCACTGACCACTAACTCGATCTTCCTGCAAACCAGCAGCATGATCTCCACACTTCTAGTTCTACCATAACTGCACAATGGACTAAATTGACTATTTACAGAACTCAAGTACTAAGCAGACACTTAACCAATTCGACAGACAAACTCCAACCAAGCAGAAACGACAGCGTTCCAACTTAACACACAGACTCCAACTAAACAGAACGACAGCGTTCTGACTTATTCAAATCCACACTTAAACCTTGGCGCCAAACCAATCCTTCTCCTTCTCGGATTCGGATTCCCTAGCACTTGCAGCTTGACTCCTTACTCCAACAATTACATCAAGCTCCCGAACCTAAAAAATGATGATCGTGACGGGCTGGTGTACAATGCCGATGAATTCGAGTTCAAGAACGGTGAATTGGTGTTACTGAACGCCGACAAACTTCCTTTGGCTGCTGATATAGGCCTCTGCGCCGGTCTAGTGAAGCTGGAGGGCAGCGCCACTTACATCGTGAAGTCGAATTACATCACGATGCACGCCACTTACATCGTGAGTGGGAGTGGCAATGTCGAGCTTGTGGGGGTGGATGGCAAGACGGTGCTGGATGCTTCTGTCACGGCTGGCCAATTATTCATTGTGCCCCGATTGTGTGGCGTCTCAAAGATCTCTGATCCTGATGGAATGTCTTGGTTCACTATTTTCCCCACTCCAATGTAAGTTCTTCCTCTTCCTGTCCCCCTTCCAACTGTTGAATGAATTTGAATATGTCAGTGCCTGAAAATGATTCTATACCATGACTGATGCCATCGCCATTGACGATGTTCTGACCAGCCTCCCTCAGCCACCGGTGGCTCTACCTAGGCACCGTGCTACTCATCGTGCACGTCGTGAACAACGACTAGCTCGTACTCGGCCCTGCAACTGCGAGGGCTGTACTGCTGTTTTTCCCCTCTCGGGTCTTAAGGCCCATATCAAGGCCGTTCATAAGGCCTTCAAGTTCATATGCAACCATTGCGGCGAAGGATTCAAGCTGGAGAGCGAGTCTGAGGATCATATATGCTGAGGTATGCTTCCTTACAAGATGATTCTTCCATGTTAGATACAGTAGCATACTTGTGATGGATTTTCCCAATTAGTTTGCTTCTCTTGATTTACTTGTGTTAGAACCAGCTTGCTTCAACAATCTTCTGTAGCAAACCCTGTGAGGACTAACCTTCTCTGCCTCTCCAGCAACCACAACTCCTTGTGGTTGCACCACATAGAACTCTTCAGTCTGCTTGTCATGGAGAGATGTGCTCTTCTCATCAAGTTAAATCATACACACACCACTTGTATCAAAATTTCCTCGAGAGTTACACTTGACTTCTACCTCAACCTCCTGATGCTCGAGTTTCATAGTATGTCCACATTTCCCCCTTTTTGTTGCTTCTCCAGCACACCAAGAATCTTCTGCATTTAGAGCACAACAGTCAATTCTTATATTCTCAGCTACAAAATTCTCTGCACAGCCCACCTCTCTCCTTGATCTATATTCCAAACCAAGTTCAAGAAGTTGAAATGTGGTTCATCCATGATATTGATAATTTGCGAGTAACACCATCTCCATGCTTCAGTACGAACAGAATTATCCAGAGTCATTGGTGAAGTAGATCCAACATATTTGACAGATTTTAAATTCTCTACAACCTCATCCGCCATTTCAGTTTTTTCATCCAAAGCAAATGCATCTCTATCTGTTACCTTTAGCATCTTATAATTATTAGCTGTGGCTCTTGACTCCCACCTTGTTGTTTTCCAAGCCCCGGGTCAATAGTTCTTTCCGTGAAAGGGGGTCATGTCGTTTCACCTGGACCACTCCGAGAGGCTTCAAACTTGACTCATCAGCTGTTATAACTTGTAGACATTGCTCATTAGCTCCTGAAACTGTATCTAGAGCAGAATGCAAGACAAACATTCTGTTTCTCCTTTTCTTTGTATGGAAAAGTTAGCCCGTCTCATCGTGAAATATTTTACAGGTGACGAAGAATGACAACCAAACCCTTATCTTGCATCTGTTCCATACCAAGTAATTTTTTTTTTTAATCCTGGCACATAAAATGCTTCTTGAATAACAACCGAGTTATGTTCAATTTTCAGCTTTATAACCCCTTTTCCAGCCACTTGCAATCTAGTTCCATCCCCTAGTTTTATAGTACAAGAGAAGGAAGAATCAAGGCTAGTGAATCAATGTTTGTTGCCAGCCAAATGATGGCTGCACCCTGAGTCTAGGAAACAGTGTTTTATTAAAAAGAATGAAACCAATATATACATCATTCACCTCTCTGACCCGGCCTTACAGTCAGCCCCTCTAACCCACTGCCCTTAATTCTAGCTACCCTCTAACAGACCCTCTAACAACTCCCTAATATTCTTCTCACTCCTTACTGACTAATGATCACTCAAAAAGACACTAACTCACTTAAACTAATCATGTATGCAATTAGGTGGCTTAACTATCTAACAGATTCTGTACTGCTGCGGTGGTCGATTTCATCTCTGGATTGTCCTAGCTTTGTGTGAAACCGATTTTGTTTCCAGCCGAGACATTGTGTTGGAATTAGCGAAAGAGGAAAATGCATTGATGAATAAGTTCTTAGGGCTGGCACTTTTTTCAATGGCATTTCCTTGTGAATGTGAGAATGGCATATGGGGATACACTAAATCTCATAGACATGCACCAGCAAGCTCCCTTTTCTATACTTCAGATTCCTGATACGTGGTTTTACGTGGATCAGTTATCAATGTGATTGCCAGGATATGTTTGTTTGTTTTCGTTTATCAGTGATGGATGCCAAGAGGACATCTTTAGATCACATATCAGTGAATATGTGATTAAACGCATTCTCTTCTTATTCTGGTGTATTGTGTTTGTTAGGAGTTATGATAGAGCAGATTTGGCTGGGTACAGACTGTTCTGTAGCTGCATGAAGCATCCTTGTGTTAGTTATAGAGCAGATTTTGCTGGGTACAATCTGTTCGTTATCCTATGCTTACAGTTGACACATCTTAACACCAACCCTCTAGTGTTAATTTTCTTGGTGATACTCTAACCTTAATTGTGTCTCTCTTTCGAACCTCGTATTTAAGCTTCCTTTCTTATTTTTCTTTATGATCCATTGACAGGTAGGTACCAGTGCTGTGGATATTATGTTCTGCTGCCAATAGAGGCTATTGGAGGGCTTCGGAGAACCTGAGTGTTGTTTGTTTCGATTTTGATAGACTCTACTTCACCTGCTTTGTGATTCACGAACTGCAATCTGCTCACTCGGGGTCCTCGCCTTGCATAACAGTCGCTTAGTAGTATGCCTTAGCTTTTACGTAAAAGTAGAACTCCGTGTTACTTGTTACAGGAACGGAACTAGCAGAAGTCGTTGCTGCTTACTACAGTAACGAAACTAACGGTACATAGTGGGAAGGTAAACTTTGAACTTCATGCACGCCCATTGAGTATCTTTCACCACTGACATTTGTTGCCTTTCTCTTGCCTATCTCTGTCTGTGAGTTCCCCCAAAGCTTGCTTCTAGCCTGCAATCTGCATTTGAGAAGTTGTGCAAATGTTCTCTCGATGCTGTTCTTATGGGTAGTCTGTCAGAATTTCTGAATCAGAAACGTGCTGTAATGCTCAATACTCTGATTAGTTGCTTCTGTTTTGAGATCCTTGTCTGTCATTTTGAGGAGCTGATTACTTGGCCAATAAGGGCCATGATATTTCCATCAGGAACTTTTCTGATTCCTCCTCAGGCAATTCGATCATGAACACTGCCTGAATTACCGAATCTCCTATATAATATAATAATTAATAAAAAGGATTAGGACGCAATAGAGAATCTGTCTTCTTCTGCGGCAATTCGTTACGAAGAGCCAACGATCTAAATTAATAAAAAGGATTAGAACACTAGTCTAAATTAATTCCCATTCACGAAAGTGTAAGAAGTCCTAGACTGGTTCATGTTTGATGAAGTTGGAATGGGGAAGAAAGCCCAAGTTCAATGACAAGACGTACAATTGGTCACAAACAAATATTTCAGGGCACAATGTAAAGATTGGGACTGATTGTTCTATTTTAGAAGTTGGAATGTCATTTACTAAGGATTAATTTTTTTACAAAGGGGATTTTCATATTTCACTATGAAGGATCAAATACATAGAGGACAACATTCAAAATACTGGATCCAAAACAAGATAATAGCATCTCGTGCTTCAGAAATACAACAAATGAGAGGTAACACATACTGAAACCAACTACCCTAAAGAGATAAGCACTTGAACCAAACACAAAACATCCATAATCCTCCTAGCTTCCAATCAAACAATGTAGCAACAAGATCAGATTAGCTTGTCCAATCACATAGAAATTCATGGCGATTGAGCAAAGCAATGTTATATGCCCGCCTCCTGGTGACTACTCAAAGACATTCATTACAGTGAATCTCAAATTCAAGATTACATGGTGGTAGACAAGGATATGAATCAGATTGCTCCAAGCTGGAGAGGCAAAGGGAGTCGAGGCAGAGATGTCAAGTTCAAAGGAAATCAGAAGAGCCAGAGAGAGCCACAAACCTCCAAGGAAGCACCAATTCCCGACTGCACCAAGCTGGAGAAGACCCAACCCTCCATGATTCGAAAACCGACCAAGCAACACAACCATCTTGGGCTGCAGGGGGGAAAGAAGAGAATGACTTCACTGACTCAATGAGACATCAGCTTGAGATTGCTCCGAAAATGATAACTTCATATCCCAAAAACAGCAAGCCCACAACAGATTACCAAGATATGAACAAAGAGTAGCAGCTCAACCAGGGGTGTCAATTCGGGTCAGGTTCGGTTACCCAAATCGAAACCCGAAATAACTGGAAACCGAACCCGAACCCGATAAAGATTTTTTGGTTTTCGGTTACCCGAAACCCGAAAATTCCTTATCGATAGGGGTGGGCAACGGATGTGTGCGGTTGGGTTGGAATAATTGTGATCCGCAATCCACCCACATACTTCTGCGGGTTGGGTTGAGAGGGTGGCGGATGGGTGCGGTTGGGTTGCGGGTCAACCGCAAAAGCAATTCTCCAACTAGCCATTAAGAAAGTGACTAACATTTATAATAAGTTCATAGCAAATTAGTGAGACTGTATCAATAATTTGTGATTTTGATACAATTAATAATTTATAGTTTGCATCCCTATATTTAATGGGTATTAACAATAATCTGCATACCAATAGCCAATATGTAATGGATATTGCACAACACAATGACCAATAATAGTAGTCAAAACAATTACTTATTCTCCACCCATTGAAGTATATGGTCAGCCTGTAGTGCAGTTCGAAAATATGATGAATATTCGATACTATAAGAAACAACATTTTTTCATGTAAAAATAGGATGCGGGTCATATGGGTGACCCGCAATCCACCCACCACTCACCCACATAAGTGCGGGTGGGAGATTTACCAATCCGCAATCCACCCACATCAATCACCCACTCCGTGCGGGTCGGGTTATTTGCGGGTGGATCGATATAAATCCGCAGATTAACCACCCACGTGCCCACCCCTACTTATCGTGTTCGGGTTCGGTTAAAGCAAAACCGAAAACCGAATGCCTAAGAATACGGGCTGAGTTCTATTCCTTGGAGGTTTTTAGACGGGACCCGAAAACCTGGTAAGCAAAAACGAACCCGAAACCCGAAACAAACCCGTATCCGAAAAACCCAAAAATGTATATAATCGGGTCGGTTTCGGGTAAACCCAAAAAACCGAACCCGAACGGACACCCCTAAGCGCAACTGGAAAGGGAAGAAATCTAGAGGCCATAACGGCAGGAGATGAAAACCAAAGCTAAAAATCTGATGGAAAACGGCTAGAACAAAGAAAGAGAAGCAAAATCAAAGAGCAAAAAGGAGAGGGGCTTGGGCCACCGCCGTCACCAAAAGGAGTCGTCGCCGGCCCCTGGGAGGCAGAGAAGAGCGTCGAATGAGAGAGCGAAGAGTTTGAAATAAAATTAAAGAGCTTTTTAACAGTTACTTAGGAGGATTGCATAACAATTTAAGCATTAGTTGGTAATTAGCCAAAAGGCTGATAATATAAGCCGCAGGTGGTGCTTGATAAATGGTTACCTCGTAGTCATCTTTTTTTTTTTTTGACAAAAGATATCATGTATTGATCAACAAATAGGCAGTTACACCCTGGACAACAGCCAGGCCTGAAAATCATAAAAGCGACTCATAGTCGGGTACAAAGAGAGGGCTTTCCTAGCTACCAAATGAGCTACCCTATTGTTCTCCCGACCTACAAAACGCACACTAAAACCAGGCTGAGTACGCAAATAATGGCCAATCTCTTCCAGAACCGCACCCAACCGGTTATCTCTGAAGTCGGCTTGATTAATCTTGTCAATAATCACCTTAGCATCGCCTTCAAAACGGACCTCCGCCAGCCCCAGCTCTCTACACCAAATAATCGCTTCCCTGAGCACGAGCAATTCCACTATCATAGGATCATCCAAATGAGTAAACTGAACCCCTCTAGCCAGAAGGAGAGCCCGCGCTGGGTCCAGAAGAACCATTCCACCAGCCGAATGCGACCCACTCTTCGTAGCTCCGTCCCACAAGCACACAAGTTGGGAGTCACCCACTTGCACTGGCGGCTGCAACACCGGGTTCAGCACTCGAGGATCATGATCCGCAGGAAGCCCTACCCATTCCTCATATTGTTGATTAAACTGGCGCATGAGAGCCTGAATCCCAAATTGCTTGCCTTCAAAGACTACCCAATTCCGGGAACGCCAGATCCGCCAAAGGATGGCAACAACTGCCATAACCATTGACGGTTGGTGAATCAGGGCCAACAAGCGATTCAGGAACAAAGGAAAGGTGTGCCGAGGCAAGCCCTCACCCAAGTAATTCAGCCCCGAATAATCCCAGAGAGCCCGTGCCACTGGACAGGAAAGAAACAAATGCTCCATCGTCTCTGGGCCATCCCAACAAACTGGGCATCGATGCAACACCTGGACCTTTTTCTCAATAAGCGCCTCAGTAGTTGGCAGAGCCCGATTTAGAATCTGCCAAACAAAAACTTTCAACTTTGGAGGAATCTTCGCCTCCCACACTCTAATCCAACTCGGTTTGTCCATCCAGATTACCGAGGGCCGCCACCTTCCCCCCCTCCTATCCAAATCCACAGCCAGATGATAAGCCGACTTCACCGAGAAAACTCCATCTGCTGTAAAATGCCAGATAAGTTTGTCAGGCATATCCCATCTCGGGAGGGGAATGCCTTTAATCGCTCTACACGTAGGCGGGTCAAACCATTGACTAAGCTTCTCATCAGACCACGCCCCTCCCCCCTCACAAAGAACCTCCGTCACTAAGGGATCACCCCCCTCAGGCAAGACCCTAGGGTTATAGCATGGGGGATCTAATTGATACCTCGGGATCCAGTTAGACCGAAGGAGGGAGACCGACTTGCCATTCCCCACCTGCCAACGCAGACCCATCTCCAATAAATGACGCCCATGAAGGATACTCTGCCACCCCCAAGAGTGACGAGATCTCGCCTTGGCAGTCAAGAAAGACCCCTGAGGGAAATACTTGCCTTTATAAACCTGGGCCAGAAGAGATTGAGGTTCACTGAGAACACGCCAGCCTATCTTCGCCAAAAGGGCTTGATTGAAGTGCTCAAACTGGCGAAATCCCATCCCCCCCTCATGTTTACTTCTGCACATCTTTCGCCAGGACACCCATCTAATCTTGGGATGGCCCTCCTCTGCGCCCCACCAAAAGCGGGCCACGTGTTTGTCCAAAAGACGACAAAGAGCTAGAGGGAGACGGAAACAGGACATGACATGAAGAGGCAGGGCCAAAGCTATGGATTTAATCAAAGTTTCCTTAGCAGCCCACGACAACGTCCTTTGCTTCCACCCCTGCAACCGCTCGAGGAGTTTTTCCTCCAAATATCGGAAAGTCTCCATCTTTGAGCGAGCAATTAGCGTGGGAAGACCCAGATATTTATCATGTACCCCCACCGCACCAACCCCTAAAATCGCGGCCAAAAACTCCTGATCAGCCAGAGAGATATTCTTACTAAAGCATACAGCCGATTTCTCCAGGTTAACGCGCTGACCACTCAAATCCTCATAATCATTCAACACCTCAATTAAATTCTCGCACTCCTGAAGAGAACCTCGCAAGAACAAATAAGAGTCATCCGCGAAGAACAAGTGCGAAACTCTAGGAGCTCGAGGAGCTACTTTCACCCCCTCTAGTTTTTTCTCCGTAATGGCCTTCCGAAGGAGGGCTGCAAACCCTTCCGTGCAGAGCACAAACAAGAGCGGAGAAAGCGGATCCCCTTGCCGAAGGCCTCTAGAGGCGGTGAAGTAACCCGAGGGAGTACCATTCATCAGGACCGAGAAAGAGGAGGAACGGAGACATTCGTGAATCCACCCTCGCCAGACTGAACTAAAGCCCATCTTCTCCAAAACTGCAAGAAGAAATGGCCATTCGACTCTATCATAGGCCTTTTCCATGTCAACCTTCAGAGCCATGTACCCCTTCTTTCCTTGCTTTTTTATTTTTAGATAATGCATTAGTTCATGTCCTATAAGGATGTTATCAATAATCTGTCGTTCCCTGATAAAACCATTTTGGCCTTCCGAGACAATTTGAGGAAGCATGCTAGCAAGCCGTTCTGCCATAATTTTCGTAATTACTTTGTAAACAAACTGACAGAGGCTGATCGGTCGCAATTGACGAACTGTTTCCACGGAATTAACTTTAGGGATCAATGTGAG